TTATAATTAACACACCCAGAGTCACATATTTAAATGTAGGACCAGGATTTGAATCCTGAGCTTTGGACTCCAAGAACTACATTTGCTTTAATAGACTATGTTCGGCCAATCACTAGAGCACTTTCTACTAGGCCAGAGTCAAGCTAAAAGGCGTATTTAGGAATGTAGAGAAGGTCGCAGTCATGCCTGAAGGGTATAAAAAAGGCTCGTGAATCAGAAAAATTACATCACATTTCATTTGAATACCTTGCAGGTCGATATTTTATAGAGTATATAAAATGGCAATAAAAGATAATGGAGAAAATAAAGATAATTCATTTTCTCAGAGGCATTGATCATCAGGAGAGGGAGATTTTCTTTCTCCCTTTTGTACCAAATGAGGAATTTGTTCAATATTCTTAATTTACATAAAATACACAATGCAGTTAGACACTTTAAGTGCTCTTTGCATTTAGTTCATGACTATAAAATCGTTTCCAGAAAGGAGAAAGTTCTCCGTGTGTTTTATTTACATTTTTCCAAGTCCAACTTCGAAACCATTAAATGAATAATTCATCAGGCTTGAGGCTTAACGACTTGGTATGGGGCTTTTTACTTCTACTTCTCACTTGGCGCACGCATTTCGCCACAGCCTTGTCAACAGCCACTTGAGGATTCACTTCCTTCTCCCCATAAAACAGGAGTTGAAGCTCAGGGTTTTCCCTCATTACACACGGGCGTTGGCCATTTCATGTCGTGCTGAATGGACAAGTAGTCACATCTGCCCCCTTCCTTTAGTATTTACTGTGGAAGTCAATTAGGTTTCAGTCACAATGATACAGCACCTGGAGTGCACAGAGAAACAGCTCAGTGGAGAGGAACAGCTCATGGAAGAATCCCGAAATAATAGATTTAATACAGAAACGAATAAACAACTAAAGGAGTCCTTTAGAAAGGGGTGGCTCTGTTCTAGGTACAGGAACATAAATTGGGTGCAATGCTAAGCCACCGATTACTATTCCAGCTAGACTGGAGTTTGAGACCATTCAAATAGATGACAATTGGAGTATTTTTCTCCTAATATTCCAGGGCTAGAAATTTATACCATATATAGTCACATAAAATATCATACAAAGTGCCTTTAGGTTTGACTATAATTGCACCAATTTATATTATCAAAAGGCAGCACAGTAGAATGCTAAAATGCCTGAGCCTACCTCTGCTACAAAATGACTGTGTGATCTCAGAAAAATAGTTGATATCATTAGTTATAATTTTCCTCATCAATAGCCCAGAAGCCATAAAGAAATATGTATTGATTTGCTGTATGGAAAGAATGATTGATCTATGCTTAGTACTTCTTGTATCTCTGGCACATAGAAAGTGCTTAAAATAATATCAATCTATAACTTTTATTCATCCCTTTACCAATCAACTTGAAGGTAGGAAGCAAATAATTTTGGAAAAGATTTGGAAAACACTGAGTAAGTATTACTGTTTCAATTTTTGTAGCATCCACAGAAAGTGTGCCCAGTTACTGACTACATTCTTTCCAAGTCTCTCCGTACAGGGTTTTAAGCAAGTGTATCACACTTGTTGAAATATTTGCAGTATCCTAACTCAATGTAAAAATCATCCATAATACATTTCAAAACAGAAATTTCCAGATTTCTAATCCAAGTATTGTGAACAAGTATATTGTGGGAAGATATATAGGATTCTCATTGTTCACCAAAATCCTAAAGTAATTCTTACATGTACTAAGAGTTGAGAACAACAAAATTAGTCAATAGTAATAATAATTATTATAGTAATAATAGATATTATTAAATGAAAATTGAATGCCAGACTTGTACAAAGCATTTTACACAATATTGTCTCACAGAATATTTATAATATTCCTGGTTATTTTATAATTTTGGTTGATAAGTGTAGGAACAGAGGCTCAGAAGGGTTTGATAATTTACTCCAGGTCTCATAACCAATGAGGGACACAAATCTTGGAACCTGAGTCTGCCAACTCCATTGATGGAACATGATCCCAGTGAATGTATCATGACCCTTGTTCTGTGCTGGATGCTTCCCTACTATAGAGTTTATTTTCAGATGCTCCAGCCTTGAACAATGAGAATTAACACTATAACCTTGTGTTTGAACTTTGGCAGGCTCAAAATAAAACTTTTTATACCTCATATGTGCCTGTCTTATTTGAATGCATAATCTGAAGGAAAGAAGTTGGAGTATATCTGCAGACAATCCTATGCAGCTCTTAGACTTGGAATCAGGAGCTAGTAAAAAACGTAGAGTTTTTACAAAACTTTGAAAGAAATCCTTAAAGTTTGTCCATCTCTGATCTCAAAACATGACACTCTTGGCATTCTATTAACATCTGACTGATTATTTCCTCAATTTTAAGACTTGGTTCCCTAATTGCATTTTCCAAGTAGTGTTTCCTCGACTTCCAAAATCGTGGAAGTCTTCAGTGATTTTATTATATCTTGTATATACCTTTAACTTTAAACTAAGCCCAACCTAATATGATTGTCCACTTACTATGGATTTGTAAGCAATTGACCACTAAATACTTATCCCTATAAGCTTTTTGAACCATGGAAGAAAATAAAGAAAAAAATGGAGAGAAAGAAGGGAAACATGGATTCATGAACAGGCTATTTAGAAGAAAGTTCTCAAAATTTATATGGATGCTATTTCTAGGAAATTTTGATGTCAAAGTCAAGGTTAGAGATATGTAGTGTATCATAAATGCACTCATTAACTAAATCCTGGGAAATGTGGAATGTTTTGCACCCTAATTTTATTTTTATGATTCCTTTGGGAACATTCATGTTCATTCATTCCACACATGTGTAATAAACCACAGGTGCTGCTAGGAGCATGCATACACGAATTAGGCAGAGCTCCTCCAGAAACCGAACATCGTTATGAGGAGAGTGCATTTTTGCTTCAGTTTTCTCTTGCGAAAAAATAAAAAATAAAAAAAATAAAACTTTTGTGACGACATCAGATAGTATCAGTAAAATGTCATGCATACAACAAGCAGCCAGTAAAGAAAATGATTAATAGTCAATATTAGAGAATACTATTA